TGGACATAAATCACTTTGAACAGAAACACAAAGAAAATATTTCTGAAATGTTGGCTGGCAGCCACCTTAAAAAAGGACGTTTTTTTTTTTAGGTGGACCATATGGAAAGGCACACCACTTCTGACTAATATCTTTTTTTCCCTGAAGATCACAATACTTTCATTCAATGCTGTGGTTTTTTCTGCACATTAGAATGTGTATTTATGAGCAAAATAACAGCTAAAATCCTCATTACTCTTCATGATTTCACAATTATGGCTGCTGTACATGACCTTCCCAGCCACAATTCTGCACTAATCTGTCAGTGCAGGAGTCTCCCACCACGACAGGGCCTGCTGAGTGTTCCTGTGAGGGTGTTTTGGGGAGCACATGGGCTTGGACAAGGGGCAGAACCAACTCCCACAGGCTTTAGGAAGGAGTTAAATGAAGGAGTGTTAAATGAAAGGCCATTTATTGAATTTGGGACCAAATTCCCCATCTGGCTTCAGTTTTGATACCCACCTGTCCTGCATTGTGTGCCTCAGACCACTCACATGGCTGGGCTCAGATCTGATTTGCTCCAAGGACTCCAGAAGTGCTGTCATCCAACAAAATGCTTTATGAAGCTCATGGTGGTGCTTTCTTCTGTCAGCCTCAGGCACAACACAGGCTTTGGCAAAGAAGAAGCCTGGATCTTCTGCCATGGTGGCCACTGAGGGTCACCCCAGAAAGCTCCAGAGAAAGAGAAAGGCAAGCAGGGATGGGTGAGGAGCAGAAGAGGGCAGTGTCTGGGTCACTCATGGCACGAGGGCATCGGGCCTAAACTGCTCACATCACAGAGCAATTAGAAATGCCATTCAGCAGCTTCAAGGAGATTTTTCTGTGCTTGTCATGCTTTTCTCTGCTCCCTGATACTTCAGAGGGAGAGAGGGTAGAGCTATCTCCTCTCATCCATCCACCCTCTCCTGATATTACTGTGCAGGCAGGGACACCCAGATGGGGCTATACCCACTGTGGGGAGAAGATGGGAGCCAGCACCATTTGTCATGAAGGATGGCAAAGTTTCCCCTGGCTTTCAGCTGTGCCTAATATGGGCAGCTCTGCTCTGTCACAGCCTGCAGAAGGTGGCACTTTTGCCTTCATGTGTTCCTGTAACACGCTCAGTACCCTGCAGCACAGTGACGCAAAGCCCAGGAAAGGGCAGCCCTCGTGCATTTGGTGAAATTAATGCTGCACTACAAAAAAGTCCCCATTCTAAGGTTGTGGGTATTCTTGACATTTCTTTAAAGCGAACTGCAATGCACTCTGAACAATGTTCAGAGTCCTGCTGAGGCTTCAGTAACTTAATTATGCTTTATTCTTTCTAACCCACCCACATACATGCTTTACCAATTTAAACTTTTTATAGATCCTCCTAAAGTATTTTCTGCTGTGCTTTGCTCTTAACATCACACTTGTTTTTCTCACTCCAGTCCTTTCTCAAGTACAGGGTGCCTTCTTACGTCTGTGTAATGTTGTTCAAGATGGTTTCCATAACCCAGTGTGCAGCAGAGCTAAAAGGAAGAAGGAAGGAGAAATAGAAGAACTTTACCTTGTGCCACACCTCTGTCTGGCTCTTCTGTATAAAATATACAACACTGATTTAGGAGCTTTGCGTCTTGCATGCCAATAAATTACTGGAAGCAGACATAAAAAATGCAAATGGAATCATGCTTTAATGAAAACTAAAGTGCTTACAACCTAGGGAAATTGTTACAAAGCAAAACCAATGCTAATTGTACAATCAGTTCCAGGCACACACTCCTGCAAGTGTAAATACAGGGTCTTGCTTACAGATCAAGTTCATATTCTCTTTTTTGGACACTGTGATTAAATACATCTATTAATATAATTAAGCAATGTACAAGCATATTTCAAATGAAGCATCAAAAAAGCCATGCCAACTTACCTTTCAAATCAGGAATAATTGGAACCATTTTGAGCCCTATTATTTTCAACTATTAGACAAGAACTGATTCCAATGGGATCTGTATCCCTGAAAGCCTGTGCAGTGTTTTGCAAGACAAAGTTCAGATCCATGTTAAGCTAATACATCCATTCATCTTCAAGACTTTCTTCCCCAGCTAAAATTCTCTTTTGTTTTTAAGTAGTATCACAAATCCCTCATCAACTCAAAAACATATTCCCTAGAATAGCTCTGAATTTCAGGACTAACAGCAAAACCTGGAGACTGGAAAATAAAATGCTTGACTTGCATAGTTGATAATTACCACCATCTTCCATAAGATTCTTGTGCTGAGTCGAACTGATTATAAAATAAAAGGAATGAGTTTCCTAGAAAAATGGAAAAGCCGTCGTAAAGAAAGATGATTTTTTCAGATTGAAAATACAAGAGTTGAATTCCATTTTCAAATTGAAATCATAAACTGATCAGTTTTACTTAAGAAAGAGCAACATGCAAAATGCATGTTGTTTTTCTATTAAGGAAAATTATTTCTGGCAGTTTCAGGAATTGAGATAAGGGGCAATGGAGACATGAGCAAATGTCTTGGCATCACTTGGTGTGAGCCTGGAGCTCTGCCGAGCCACATTTCAGAGAATCAGAGCTCAACTGGCACCCTGTGTAATCTTTAGCTAATGCACACATTGGAGCTTAGGCTTCCCCTTTGCATCATGATGTTACCAACACTAATGATTGTTCCACTTCAGTGTGGCATAGAAAGTAGGGAATACTTGGGAAGTTATATCCACAGGCAGAGTAATGCATCTCTCCACTGGAAGCCATAGCAAGATGCTCATTTAGGCTGGTCATGACAGTGCAGTAGGAAATCAGAGTCTGTGAACAGCTTGGGCACAATAAATAAAGCACAATCCACCTTCTCTCCACCTGCAGGCTTAAACCCATTTTCACTGTGCAGCACCATTTTCAGCATTGTACAAACCCATTTTCATTAGAGCTTACTGTACGCTGAGCTGAAGAACATAACAGTAGATTCTGTTGGAGGTAGGCACTGGCTGGAAGATGTGAATGCTCATGTCTGGTTATGTGCAGGTTTATGGAATTCTGAAGTTAACCCAGGAGCACAGTGGGATGTGAAGAGCCAAGCCTCAGAATTACTGTATGATACTGCATGGAATTATTTTTTCATACAGAAGGAAGGAAGATTTCTTTAGAAATTACAGTTTATTCTCTACAAAACAGGAAAGACTTGCCCCAGGCAACTGAATGAAGCAGCAATTGCCATTTTTATTCTTTCTTTTCCCTGAGGGGGTATAAGGCAATGAGTCAACTTTGATTCTCCCCTCAGTCCCACTGTCAGAGAGGCTGCCAAATATATATTGGGTTCCCAAGGGCAAAAGGCCTTCAAGCAGATATTTGTGATACTTATCCCTGTGGCTAGTGCTGAAAATTAAAGACACATGATGTTCAAACCCAAAACAACAAGCATAGCTTTCCAAAGACAACCAGCTGTTTCACTGGGAACTGCCAGAGCAAACAATTAGGGATACAGCAAGGATATTCACACGACTGCTTTCTCCAGGACAGTTTGGAATTCTCTGCCACGAGGAGAGACAACTTTGATATTTCAGAAAAGTGATAAGATTATTAGTTACTGGCTTTGTCCAGCTTGGGAAGTAAGGCTAAATATCTTTTTGGAATAAAAAATAGCTGAAGCTTCCTCAGACAGCAGGGCAGTTCACGAAACATATGAGTTTCATGAGTATGGAACAAATTAGACTCTAAATGGGATATTATCATTGAAGACAAGCTGTTTAGGAGGTTAACCATCACTATCAAGACTGAGGGGACCTGAGTTGTTTTTATCAAATGGTTTTATAAATGAAAGTGAGAGGGATGGACACAAGTTGCCAAATTCAGCTTCTTTCTGCTAAACTTCGTGTGGGTGCAGAGACTGCTTTGCTGGTGTGCTCTACATGCATAACACCCTCATCACTGTCCTCAAATTAAGTGGAGTCAGCTGTGCTCAGGGGAATCACTCCTGAGGTAAGACTGAGCTTTGAACCTGTCACATAAAGCAAACCCCTCCTATGCTAGCTTGTGAAAGAACTCCAAAACTGACATTGCTAGAATTCCCTAGAGAATTTCTGTATATCATCTTTTCATCTTCCAATGCACATGACTATACTGTGCTTCTTCCAGGGAATATCATTTTATCTCAGTACTTGAAGATTATTGAATAAATCCTACAAAATTGAAATAACCACATAAAAAAAATGCACAGTTCTTCACATATGTCAATGCCTTGGCAGAAATTGCAGAAAATGTTACAGAAACAAGAACAAAACTATTTGTTGGTCACAGCTCCAAAATCCCATAAAAAGCGCTGCCAGAGAAACACCATTCAAGCTGAAAAATATGAGATTTCTAAAATGCAGTACTTAAAGAGGATAACAACAAATTAATTGGGCACTAGCTGCATAATCAGATGCTCAAATTTGTATCAAGTTTTTCACTATGGATGGCAAAGCATCAGGACATGAACACTGTCTAAACCTCATCTAACTCTTGACCTAGACAGTGCCCAACTCTTGTGAGGGCATGACTTTCTACACAATTTCTAAACTCCTTGGTTCTATCTGGGTTGAACACTTTCATGGAAATAATCCTTTCTGCAAAGCTGTTAAATGCTGCTTGCTATCTCACTGAGTGCTACCTTATCACCCAAGTTGTACTGAGTGTTCCACTGTCAGTTTCAGAAACCTGTCTTGGCAATGACAATTCTGTCTCAGATCTTACCATAATATTATCACAGGGACCTAAATGCAAATAAGAAGAATGTGCCTCACCAGAGGTTCAGCAAAAATAGGTTTTAAATTTATAGTCATTCAAATGTTGTTGGTTTGAAAAATTATCCAAGTAAGTGGAACAGTATTTATGTTCCTCCAACAAAGCTGAAATACTAATCAAGTAAGCTATGGGAGAGAAAGAGAACAAAAATATAAAGGACAGGGAAAAAAAAAAAGAAATTATTGTATCTGTACCACTAATTATTAATTTTATAGATAAAGCTAGATGAATAAAGATGAAAAGAAGGTGAGGAGAAAAATACATTATTGCACAAGATACAAGCAGAGATCACTGAGGAGCTGATCTTTAGACCTTTTCCCTGATCATTTTAAATGATCTCACATGAACTGTCCACAAGTGAAACTGCCAACTTGGTCTCCATTCAGTGCATATTTGAGCCAGGCTTTTACTGAAGCAGTTCTGATTTCTGATCAGAATTTTTTTTTGCTTTGCCCTTCTGCTAATAACATTTGGCACACTGCTGAGCTGCTCTATGAAAAACACAGATATTAAATTACTAATGGGAGGGGAATGAACAGTTCAACTGAACAACATAGATGCTTGAAAACCAAATTCTTCATAGGGGTTACTGAGAAGGTGTTATTTCCTAGGTTAGTATTTTCAAGATAGCATTTCTTAAGATGAACTTTCTTAAATAGATTTTTTGGCAATTTTAAAAACTCAGCATAATACCAAACCAGTTATCTTTTCTATTCTAGAGTAGCACCTTCTGAGAAAGGGTGGAAAGGTATGTTTTGTAAGGGATCTCTCCTGAGTTGTGCAGGCAGAGCTATAGATAAGTGCTGTACTTGAGAGCAGGCAGAGAATGATGGTTTCCAGTACAGATTTTAAAAGCATTGAATCCACTTTAAGAAAACTCCTGAAACTTGGACTTTTCCTGTGAATATATGGTACATGTCTCAAAAACATAAACCCACATAACTCAATCAAAAGCATAAAATCAACAATAAAAAGCCATTCAGCAGGAGGAACACTGTTCCTAGGATCTGTTTGTAGAAAATGAAAGCCAGCTTTGCACTCTTTCTCTGCCTGCTGAAGCATGCACTTTGGGTGCCTCTGCCTGAATACACTGCATTCTGGCAACATGGCAAGAAGCCAATAAGATAAAACATCCCGTGAGATCATATTTTGTGAATCAGAACTTTCCCAAAGAGTACTGGTAATACAACAGATCTAGAAATTAGTAAAAAATATCAGCAGTTTCCATCTTTAAAAGTTCAGCTTTTTACCATGAACCTATTTACATTCATCTAATGTTATATGAAATTATTAAAAGTTATAAATGCAACAGTTAAAACAGTACTGAAGAACTGGACTGGATAATTAACCTGTTTAGGGACCTGGATGACTAATGCATTAGCTCTGAATGCAAATAAAAAGGATAGAATTCTGCTGGTGTTATACAACCATAAATCTGGAACAACTCTTCTGGATTTTCCCCTGGAAATTCTGAAATGTTATAGGAATATAGCAGAGCTCAAAATCCATCCAAATCACTGCAATGCCATAATTCCTTCCTAAACTACAAGAGAATATATGTATTACAGGCACAGGAATGGCAAGATTACAGAGAGAAATTAATTTTAAAAATTATTTCAAAGGAAAAAAACCTGCAGATATTGCAGCTTGAACACTTTGGAGTTTTAAATAATAACAGCTAACCAATTTTTCATTTTCTTTCAAGTTGACAAGCAGGTTGTGCTCCTAAATTATCTCTGGATGCTATACGCAAAGTCTGTAAACAATGAAACCTAATTAAATTGGCTTGAAAAATGTCTGGTGAAATACTGATGATTAAATTATTTCATCTGTAGATTGGGGCAGCAAATTTCCCAGGGTAGTAAAAAGTACCTACATTATAACGTGGATCAAAGTATTTGCCATGTAAAATGAGAAACAGGCCAGCACAAAACTGACAGAATTAATTCACAGTATACACTTTTCTATCATAATAAATGCTGCTTCTGTGCACTGAGCCATGAGTAATCTCAATTCTTTTTCCTGTAAGTACTACATTACTGCTTGGATCACTTTGTCCTTTCAGGGTTATTGTACTTTAATTTGCCTTGTGCTTTACACTTCCTCTGCAAGCTGCAGTTTAACAGATTTTTATGAAGATGCAACTACATGAAGAGAAAAGTATTGTTATGTCTTCATAGTAAAAGCGCTTGAGCCAAAGACCTTTAATCTCCTGTTGGCTACATACATTAAAATTCACAGTTTCTGTACTGCTTCAGAGCATTGCTGTGATATTTCTGTGTCACCATAAATAAATGTTCCTTTGTGGAAAATACTTAGTCAAGCTAATGATTTCTTATTTTTTATTTAACCCTCACAGTCACTGCAGAGCCTGAAATACATGATAAGGAAGTAGTAAAAATAACAACAGCAGTGTCTATCCATAGTGCACTGAAAACAGCCCTTCAGATCCTGTGCAAACAGCTTGTGGAGAAAAGTAAAAAAACCCTGTGCTCCATCCCTGCAAGGGGCTTTGAGAAACCTGGTCTAGTGAAAGGTATCCCTGCACATGGCTGGGGCATTGGAACAAGTTGATATTTAAGGTCCCTTCCAGCAGAAGTCATTCTGTGATTCTGTGATTTATTGAAATGTAGCTTTAACTTGGCACGGGATACCTGCACAAGCCTGCACACAGGCTCACAAATCTCACTTTAAAGATAACAGCAGGCTGTGAGATACCACACCTGAATTAGCCGTTGCTTTCATAGCTTGGCAACCATTTGTTATGACCACTTGTACAAGCTCCTGCTGATTCTTAGACTTGCCAGGAAGATCCCTCTTCTGGATGAGAGAGACTGTCCTGTTAAACACTCCTTTAAAAGGCTGTGATTGACACCAGTTTTTGTCACTGCACAAACATTAAATGTAATTCCATTACATTAATTCCATATGTGCTTGCACCCAGCCCAGGGACCCAGAGATAACAGGGTAACATTAATTCACCTGCATGGTTCCTGCCTTGGCATACGGAAAGGGCTGTCTGTAAAACAGGGACTACAACCTGGATTTCACCATACCTCTCTCTATTAGTCAGACACCTCTTTCTCTCCCTGTTTGTATGAACTGCACACAGAAAACTTGTCATCTTCAAAGAAAAATCAAGGACCTCACATCCCTGTTCATGCAGCAAATTACTGAGCTAGTCTTGAGCCTCCTCCACATTTTTGTTATTGGCTTTGTAGTTTGATCCTTTTTGGCATCCAAATGTTCACTAAAGATGAACTTGAAACTTTTGTCTTGAAACTGGCAGAGCTGTTCCAATTTCTCCACTAGTTATGCAGAAGAAAAATACTTTGAGAGTTACAGAGATGCTCAGTTGCTCTTTTAGATGAACTCCCTCTCTTTTCTTGGTCATTTGCTTTAACTATATGGAGCAGTACTTAAGGAGTGAATGAAAGAGATTCAGGAAAACAGTTTGAAATTAATTAAGGCCTAAAGCCTAAAATCAGATTAGATATGATTTTCTGGATATGGATTCTGTTCTGTCCCTCCCCAGACAGGATCCATTCTCCCGACAGCAATCCAGCAGCCATTGACATGGACTATCTGCACCAGTGATATTCTCCCAGCTAACTCCCAGGCCACCTGCACAGAAGAGTTAAAATCTGTGAGAATCTGAGCATTTTGCAAAGGTACAAGGATCCTCACAGACTGGATGAAGACAGAGTGTCCTCTGCTGCAATGGCAATGGATTCTGAAGTTGCTCAGAGAAGAAAAGGATCAAAGTATTAATCTAGGCTACCCCAGGAAGAAAGAAACTAGATTGAGAAGATGCCAGTCCCTCTCAAATTTTTAGATCACATTGAATGTCAGCATATTCATAGGACATGGGACACTTTTGCAGATGATATATATTGAAAGTGCTCTCCCTTGCTGAAGCTTGAAAAACGTGAGGGTAGGTGCTTCAAAACACAACATGCAAATGTGAAAGCAAGTAGATCAAACCTAAAATAATAAAGAAAAGAACAGGCAGTGTGAGTTTCTTTGAACCTGGTCTAAGCTGTAGGCTGCTTTACTGTTATCTGAATGGGATCTGATATTGTTGGTACAGCAATATGCAAACATCATGTTATTAATGCACACAGTCTCCTTTACCAGTTGGTGTTTTGCAATATTACAAATCACCATTTTCCCTCTATGACATTTCTTAAACAGTCAGCAATCTAAAAGAGGAATTCCTTGCACAAGGAAATTTATATTAGATGAAAAATTAAAGAGGATTCATGCAAATGTTATTCCCATGTTAGACAGAAGGGCACAACAGAGATGATACAGCTGAAACTCTCCTTTGGTACTATGACCTTTCCTGAGGAATTCAATTTTTTATTTTACAAAAATAAATCCAACTGTGTCCTGAGATATCCATAAGTGAAGCAAACTACACCTTCTGATTTGAAAATATTAGAAATTAAAATCTGTCAATTAGTGTTATTATATAACAATATTAGAGCTGCTCTCTCATTTTTTTTTTCTTTCTAATAAACCACTGGACAGTCAGCTAAAAGAGCTCTGAAGAAGGTACTTGGAAAAGTCACTTATAACCAACAGTGAAACCCAAATTTAGGTGCAATCCTGTGGACAAGGGCTCCCTCTGTGCAAGGACACTCCCTGTCACAGGACTGCAACAGTGCCACAGTGAAAAGGGCCAGCAGTGGGAGGAAACACATAAAACAAATTAGCCCTCTCCCCTTTCCACCAGTAAATCCATCTGGTAACAGCTGTTACCTATCCAGTTTATACAATCTCTTCTCCAAAATCTTTGATGTCCAGAAGACTGGAAAATCTAATAGTGTCCTGGAAAAGAGGATAACAAAAATATTGAGAAAGTAATAAAAAACACAAACAATTCTCTCACTGCAATACTTGGTGAGAGAGAAAGTTCTTCAGATCTGGTTAGTTCGCAAGCTCTTTTATAAACCAGTCATGAATGGAGGAAATTTACTATTCATGGCTGCAGAAATAAAATTTAAAAAAAGGACTTGCTTCTTTCAGCAATCTTGAGAACAATGATATATTTTCATTTGCTTTCCCAGGGACAAATACAAAATGAGCTTTGATGCCTCCTCTGGAAGTCTGCAGTTTACAGCCAAGGCACAGTTCAATCCATTAGCCCAAGGACTTGACTCGCCATTACATCAGCCATGATGGAATGACACTTGTGCAATGAAGGTGGTAAATGACGATAACTCTGGTTCTACTAGATGGCCAAACTGGCCAGGAGCCCCAAGGTCTGTGGTCAGGCACCAAAAGTGGAGCAGCTTGGCTGCTACCTGCCATGCCAGGACTTCCCAGCTGGAGAGGTGACGTCCCCAGGGAGGTGCACCAAGCCCAACCCCGCTGGCAATGACATAACTGCTCCCTTTGGCTGCTGAAAGCATCTCTTTGGGATGTGCCACCCATGACATATGCCCCACAGTAGCTGAACAAGGAATGAGAGTCCCCTCATGTCCCTTTTGCCCCAGACAAGGAGTTGCAGCGTTGCGCAAAGCCGCCCTGCCCGGAGCGTGCCAGCAGGATGGGAGCGCTGCCGCCGCTCCCGCTGCGTCCAGTGGCTGCCCAGGGCTGTGCTCAGCCAAGGCTTGGCCAGTGGAGTGGGAAACAAACGGCAGCACCTTCTGGGAAACAGGGAGGGGGCAACTCTCCAGGCACCTGTTGAAACCAGATTATAAGATTTAGGTTGGGAATGCCAATGTGCTTTTCCTGCACAGATTCTGCCGGCACAGCTGCGGTACCTAGGGGAGTTTGCAAAACTTCTCATGGAGTGGATCACTCTGGCTGCTGTAAAATCAAAATATTGCTCATACCACATCAGATATGCAAAGTGAGAGGATATGAATTCTGTATATGAATTTTGAAGCTCTCCTGTAGCACAATCTCATTCACCTACAGCTCCTGTGCACAAAAATCTCCCCCCCAAAAAAATCTCCATATCAGTTACACATCAGATAGTAGCCTCACAGCCTATTTATTTTCTGTTTGGAGAATGCTCAGTGCAATCTCTCATTAGCTTATTTTTGTTTAAAATAACTGCAAAATGTCTCTCTGTTTTCGAGGAGGGGGGGAAGGTAGAATGAGGTGGAGGGGACACCAACGTATTTTAGATTTTAAGTGAAAGAGCCCATCCAAAGTGCAAAATCTTTCAAAGGCAGACTTACACACTCTGTGAAACTTGGTTGTGACTGCTCTCTGTAACTTGTACCACACTCTGCCTCCTTCACCCTCTGACACATAACAAGAAAACTGGATTCAAAATGAGATTGCACCATGGTGAATTCATTCCTTGAATTGCATCGTAAGTTTCAGCAATACACAGCGTGGGAACACGTCGATTAGCTCTCGCTTTGAAGAAATTGGATTTGCAAAGGTCAGCAGTGGCTCCGCCCATTTCTCAGCAGATCTCTGGCTTGCTTTTCATCCCAGGACTAGCAGGGAGGAGGTCAGAGAGGAATGACAAAAAGAGCTTTTTGAAGAGAGCCCAAAGAATCTCACTGTGCTCCCAGCAGTGTGGAGGTTTCTTTCGCTCAAAGCTAATAGAAAGGTAGATTTTAAACCAAATTTATGGGAATAACTTTCTGGTTTTACTTTATATATTAAACAATCAATTGTTTTGGTATAAACTAAGAAATGCTTTCCAATGTAACTTTTGGTCTGGCAAGAGCTGCCTGAAGCTAATCTGCAGAAAAGCCTGCTTGCCCTCCCCCATCCCTCCCACTTTTTGTGCAAAAGGGTTCAGCCAGCCTGAAAAAAAGTAGAAAAGAGGTAGAAAGAGGCAAAGCTCAGCCTCCAGTGGAAGTGTGAAATCCAAGAAATATGTGCTCTGTATTTCTCCTCTGAAACATGTTTCCCAGTTGTTTAGTTTTCTCCTGTGCCAGTACACTGAGACAGAGGTAGTTTCATTACCCTTTTGAGCCAGAAAATTCACCAAATATTTTGGCCACTCTCTGCACCTTATTAACAGAAACTGGCCTTTCCTCCTGCTGCTGGCAGGGCAGGGTGCTGGGAGTGTGTGATCAAGGCGCTTCGGCGGCTGTCACCAACATTCTCCTGAGGCTGGCAGTGAAGGATTCCTCCTGGATCCTGAACAGGGGTTTGCTGCGGCCACTTACATTGGAAAGCCACAAAAAAGGGAAGGAGGTGGCGAGAAAAAAAAAAGCAGGTTAGAAAGGAATCTGAAAATACCAGCAAGCCTGAGTTCCTTCACCTCTAAATATTAAACATTTCTTGCAGAAATACAGAACTCACAGACTGAAACATATCTCCTAGAAAACTGGGAATAATGGATTCAAATGCTTTGTTAGTGTATTTTCTTTGGCAGTGCACTTTCTCTGGCTTTAAAGCTTTGCAATGTGGGGAAAGAATAGGCAGAATAGCTCCAGCTGCTGTTGCAGCTCTCCTCAAACTGTAAAAATTTGCTTTTCCCTAGTCTTCCAACAAGCAACACGGCAGCATTCTGACATAAAAATATAATTTAGAGAGTATCCAAATCATAGAAGGCCAAATCTTGATGCTCTGTTGGTTCCTATTAAATAGCCAGTACTAATCCAGGTGGATTTTTCTTGTTATTAACTGAGCAATACTGACCTTTGCCCTTGCTAATTTGACTCAGAAAATTCCCTCTGAGTCTATCCCAGGAATGCCCAGAGCTCTGGCTGCTGCAGAAGGTGCCAGCAGGAGCACAGCAGAAATACTGCTGGAGGAGGGGCATTTACAGCATGTGCAAAAGAGATGTAGGACAGATGAAGATGAAAGTATTGTCAAACTGAAAGATGAGTGATGTTTCTGTGACCTAAGAGGAAGTAATAAATGCTGGGTTTAGGCTTTCAGTGAAGAAATGGCTTTTCACCTGCTGCTTCACAGCCTGCATCAGACTTCCACCAAAATCTGATTACCACCACTACAGAGTGAATCTTTGGAGAGCTGGGTAACAACTCTGCCAAGGAGATTGCGCCAGCTCCCCTCACAAGTGTTGTCACCACAGATCCTAAGGCAGACCCTGGAATTTCTCATTACCTCACAGGCCAGCAACTCTTTAGAAGTGTCTTCACTTTCCAGCCACAGAGATAGAAGCAAGGAGGGGATCTGAGGGGTAGGGGTTCTGCAGCTAAGGGGATCTCTCTTCAGATACAACACTTTGCTAAACATTAGATCCCATCTAGAGGTTTTGTTGAAGCATCCTTTCTAGGAATATAATTTTTAATCTGACAGATTTCCACAACATTTGACCTGAAGAAGATTATGATTTATGGACACATATCTCATTTGCAAATTTTTATCTGAGTAGTTCAGGTAAATATCCACCTAACCTGGAGAGCTTAGGCATTAGGACATGTATCTGGATTACCAGTGCACAGCTGTTCATGGTCAGGCATCAAATCCCAGATCCAGCTTCTTTTCTCTATTTAGCATACTCTTGTCTGTTTTCATTTTAACACTCTTTTATGTGTGATGTTTCTATCAACACTTACTTCAATATTCTTTAGTGGAGAAAAGAGTCCCTGTCACACCTTTCACATATGAATAAGCTTGGTAACTGAAAACACAATTATGAGGTTTAACTTTGTTTTTTGCAAAAACAAACCAAAGAAAGCCAGGAGGTTAAATAGCTACAGTTGAGGGTACCTTGCTGAGCTGCAATAAAAATATAAAAGATCATTCTGAACACATATTTTTTTATTAAAAGAGAATGAACATAAATTACAGCTGCTGACCATGTAGCCATTCTTTTTATGAGGTGTTTCCCTATACCCATATATGATTTCCACATATAAATTCCCTGTTGGACTGAAAACTCCTCACATGAAACTGGTGCTTTTCTTAATAAATTGTCCACAGAATCAGTATTTCATTTCAGATGTAAAAAGTTCATTAGGGAAAAAAAAGCATCCCCATGTCCTGGTGGAAAGCAACACCAGACACTATTCAAGCTAAAAAAAGATCTGCCTGCAGATTCTGTAGCATTTTTCCTCTGCTTTTCTATTTAATTATTTTCCATAATTTAATAAAATCCAATATAACATAGCATACTATAACAGTGCCTGCAGTAAAAACCACTTAGTCCAGAGCAGAAAAAAGCAAATCTATTCCATTGAGGATTTCAGCATTTTGAGTTTTGTTTTCTTTAAAAATTTCTTGAAGAAGGGCAACTAGCTCTGAAACACTGCAAGCACAGAAACCCTGAAGTCCTCTGCTCTGAAAGAGCTTGTTTTATGGAATGCCCTCAAACCATGCACTGTGGAAGCCTGGAAACTGCTCCAGGTCTGCCTACTGAGGGCTTCTCACCGGAGAAAATCACTTCAACCAGCATCAGATGTTCCATATGGGGTGCTCAGCTGTAAATCTTAGAAAGCACTGAAAACAGAAAATTGTAAAAAATGTCCCCAGAGCACACATGAAAATCCACATTGATGGTTACCTTTGTTACTCCATGCAGAAAAGAGGCAATGCTGAACTAACCCAAATGGCCATGGATTCAGGGTCATCTGCTTCTGCTCTCACTCTGGAAGCACAGCTGTCTCCTCATGACACCAGGGAGCTCAGCAGAGACTGGGTGAAGAATGTGCTCCTGAGATACCCCCTTCCCCAGAAAAAGGCTTGGTTTGACAAAGTGCTGGATGTGTGTCAGAACCTGACAGAAGGGGGACATTTTTAGCAGCACTTCGCTGAACCACTGTGCCAGAGTGTGGTCCCCAAAAGCACAGTTGCTTTCATTCCCATAATTCACTTTCATTTGTCTTTTTCAAAACCTTCCCTAATTAAGCTTAATTGCCATGCAGTCACACATTAGTGCAACATTCTGTCCACTTATGGACCACCCATAAAATCCTTCATAGCATTAATCCCGGAAAGTGGTAGACTGCTTGTTTTGTTTTGTTTTCTAATGTGCATAAGTGCCTATAATGCACAGCAATGGCTTTTTGGAACTGATACTTGACTGATTATCATGAAAAAGATTCTTAGTTTATGTCAGAAAATCAGAGAGGTCAGAAGGGTGTTTGTGTTTTGGGAAAAACAAGCATTTATGATGATTTGGAGTCTAGGAACTCTGGTGCGGAACTCAGGCCTGGAAATTCCCACTTCTTTGTTATACTTAACTCCTTCTTAGGACAGTTATGACTTAGACCATAACAATTTGGATACCTTTAGCTTTGTGAGTTAGTCAGGTTCTCTGCCTCACTTAAGTCTTCAGTGAGTCTTCATCCTAAAAAGCAGTGATCTCATGCAACACATGCAAACTATCATTTTAAAATATGGACAATGGTCCAGTCTGGAGGATGCTTCTAAATACTTTGTAGGAGCTGAAACCTAACAGAATATTTAGAAATAGTAAAACAAAACAAGAACACACAATCACAGGAATGTCAGCTGAAATATTCTTGCAAGCAGCTGATTATTCCTTGGCATTGCAGTTTATCTGAATGCAATAACTCCCATAATATAGAAGTAAAGAAGATCCTTGGATTTCTAGGATGCTGAAGCAAAAGATGCAAGTACCAGGTACCTCAGAAAAGTGTTGGGTGGGCTGAAAATTCACGATTAGAAGGACAACAAACCTAAAAGATAAGGAAGAAGTAGTGTTAGAGAATGAAATCAAAACTTCTGTAGCAAAGAGACAATACCACAGCTTATAACAGAGAGATATAACATAAGGGAATTTCAGCCTCACTCACTTTGGTGAGAGACTCAGGGAGCTGGAGATCATACCACATGACTAAACTTAATTTACCATTTGCAGTGATATGGTTTCTGGGCACTGGAGGACAATGCCAATATTTTTGCCACTGCTAGAAATACCTTTCTTCATCTAAAAATGACAAAAAGAAAGAGAAAGGGAAGAAAAAAATTAGGTCCAAGTAAACATTCTAATTTTTTAGTAAATTATTAAGTTACATCTAGTCCTTTCCAAAGCTTTCAAGCTTTGTAGGATGTATACATTGGATAGGGAAAATGAAAGGAGAAATAACAAGAACTCTCTCCAATCAGCAAGGATTTGTTGCCCATGTAACTTATTAGGTAAGTTTGTTCAACATACACACTACTGGAGATGCACATTCTGTGAGAAAATTAGGGCTCTTACATTATGCCTAATTCTTGTCTGTGAGTCCAGAGGCAAATTGTGATGATGATTTAATATTTTAATGTCAGAGAAAATCATTCCTTTCTGTCACACCTTTATGAATTTCAAAACTAAGCAAAAATCCCCCCCAACTTATAGCCTAATTGATTACTATAAAAATGAAAATAGATAATTTTTTATTGTTTAATAAAAGCTAGAAAATTTCAAGTGATGCAAAATCTCTTTAAAGTTTCTTTCTTAAAACGCCCCCACACAAACCCTCCTTGTTATCTAAATCGATACTATCTTCGTCCCTTATTTACTGCCCAGCCTCAGCATTTTCTGAGTGGCAACAGCACAAGGCAAACACTCAGAGGCAAACTGAAGTGACAAGCAAGCAAACAAAACAGAGCAAAGAAAATGAAAAGTGTGTACTTGCTCTGACAATTCTGCTGCAGGGTACTGAGGGTATCATAGCTGCATTGAGTTAGTCCTACAATTAATCCATCATTACAATGACAATTATTAAAGAGAAACCCCCAACTCAGAAATGCTGGGATAAATTAACATGCTGCAATCCTACTGACACCACCACCATCACTGTGAAGGAAAAATTGGTGTTGTTCTTTTGTTCTGTTGAGTAGGAGTCGTTTGCTAAAGTTCACATTCTCTTCCAAACCTTAACATATCTAGATGACATAAATGTAGGACACTGCCAAACAAGGGGGGCAGGCTGGTTTGATATGGGGCTTCTGCACCTCAGGTCCTCAGTGTCTGGGGTGCAGCTCAATCCAAGGGGTATAAGCAGCAGGGTTAGGATATGTGTGTTGTGGAATATGATAACCTGGAACATCTTTGTGGGTATTTACTCAGAGAAAACATGGTGCCACCTCTGTGACTATTTCTATGCATCTTTCCACTTGTTTTCCAAAATAAGCAAAATATCCAATCTCTAAAAATACTGACTACTAAAAAGTACACAGTTCCTCAGGGAAACGAGGTTTCAACATAATTGTGTCATGTGAATGTTTGCCTGTCATCTGCTTGCTCTTTCCCCCCAGTTTTAACTCCCTTTTACAGAAGGGCAGAGGTCTCAGTGGGTCAGGTTGTGACAAGTCCTGTGCAAGCTGGGGACAGCTGATGGCTGCACACACAGCAGTGCCACCCTGGCCATGGGCACAGAGCTCCCTGCCAGGTGCTGCAGGCACCAAGGACAGGGCTGATGGTGGATGAGAGCTGGGACGCAGACAGTGAGGCAGGAGAGGCAGAAATCCATAGGAAATGAGTCCTCTCTAGCTTGGCTGCCTGGGGGCCAACTAGTTACTGATTTATACAATGGTTTTCCTCGCAGTTCTTGAGTTCTACTGAAAATTATTTTTCTCGCCAGCGGTGCTTTCCAGGAACAGGCTGAAGTGCCTGCTTCAAAACTCCTGACAGTATCATTTATTTGCTGAACAAGGGGGCACAGCAAACAAGCGTTTTCCTTATGTTTTGCTTTAACCTTGCTGATGCCTTTTCAGCAAACTATGAGCCAAATTCCTCATTTCACTGCTTTAACAAGTGTGTAGATACTGACATCTCCAATCCCACTTTCCCAGGTCAAGGTCATGTTTCATTAGAGACCACCTGAACCTGCAGAACTCTATTTTCTCATAAATGCTGGTCTCACTGATCTCAGTGGGAGAGCATGTGTGAGCTGGGGACTTGGTACCCACGTGTGTATGTACATATTTATATCCAATTCAGAGATGCAGCTATCCTGATGGTTATAATTCTGTCCAATAGAATGCAATAATAAATACAGAGCCTGTTCCTATAGACTCACTTTGAATGTGGCTAATCAAATAAAGTCAGTACTCCTGAGAGTAACAGAAATCCAGAGACACCAACAAATCATGATTAAAAGTGCAGGAAGCCTCAGTAGGGAATGATTGCAGCTTTCCTACTTTGTTTTGCCTAATAAATATTTAATTTCTACTACAGGCAGAAATAAGAATAAGTTGAGGCTTAAAAAAAGCATTTGTCCTAATGAAAGTATTTTGCTTGCTAATAGTATTACCATCCAGTGAATAACAAAAGAACTCTGAACTCCATTGATTTAAAGAAACCCCAGAACTATTCAGAAAACCAAATATATATTTAGGGCACCAGGCAACAAACAGCAGCTACACCCTAGCATAGTAAGTAACACACATTCATGATTATATACAATGGTACCATTTCATGGCTTGTCTGGATGAAATAATTAAGTTTTTATTTTCCACATCCAGTTCCTGTGATCTGAATACAGGCAAACCTAGAAATCTAGTCCAAACAAAAAGCAGCACCTTTTCACCTGGGAGGAAATAATAAATGCTCTCATCACTCAGCCACTGAGTTCATGGGGTAGTTTGGATATCCCTGGTGCAGACAGCAGGCAGGAGAAGGTTTCTCACTGCCCACCCTTGCACCCTCCCTGGCAGTCATGGAAGCCCAGAGCTCAGCTCTGCACTCTACCACTGATGGCATCAAGGCAAGGGAAAAATTACTGACATGAACTGATTAACTGTCAGTGCTTCCCTCAACATCTTTGGATTTATGCTGTGGCTGTAATGCAAATCTTTGATTTAGAGTAGCGGTGCCTCGTGTTCAGTAGCCAACATGCTGCATCAAAACTAAAGTTTGAGTTAGCTGCAATAGCAGAGAGAGGATTTCTGCCATTGCTTGCATTCAAGCAGCCAGGAAGAGTTACACTCACTGAAGGCAAATCGCAGCTGATGCAGTTTCACAACTGAAATACTTGCTTCCTGTGTTTCCTAAAAACCTAAGATCAAGAAATAATTCCTATCTTCTAATAATAAGAAAAAAAATTGATGCTGCTGTAGTTTAGGAAAATAAAACTTTGATGACCTACTTCTGATTCTGTTTCAGAATTGCTGTAATGGTTTGCCGGCTCTCCTTATTGTAATGGCTTGTACCACTGCCCAGGAAAAATCTACTGCAGCAGTGTACTTCTTCATGATGAAAATTCCATATGAGTAACACTCAGGAATATTAGAACTAGCCTGTATGCATATGCACTTAGATTACAAATTTTAAAAAAGAAAATAATTTTAAAAATACCCCAGTAACTCTGTCTTGACCTTAACAAGCAGAAGAGTGTCACCAGTCTAGAAGTGTATAACTTTCATATCTAAATATATATGTATCTCTATATAAATACTCATCTGAAGAATTTTATCTGCTTCAAGAATGCAAGAAAAGAAGAAAAATAAATTCAAAGAGCAGTTCTTTAGCCTTTAGGTGGACTTCAACAGTTAAAAATAGCCCAGAATCTAGAACAACACCGCAACCCCCACAAAAACAACAGTTTTTCTTTGTGCTGAAGCCATTGCCCAACTTCCCAGCACTAACGCTGAGCCTCGCTGTGCTGTAAGTACGGCAAAGGGCAGACGGAGCCGCGGCCGGGATCAGCTCCGAGGCTCCTGGAGCAGAAACGGCGTCCCAGCCGGGATCGGCTCCGAGGCTCCTGGAGCTGCACCGGAGCCGCGCTCCGGCCGGGTCGGGACCTGTGCTGCCTGCCCGGGCAGCTCCCGGGACAGAGCTGGGCTATGCTCCCTGCCCGGGCACAGTCGGGATCCGGCTCTCCCTGCCCGGGCACAGCCGGGATCGGGCGCTCCCTGCCCTGGGCGCAGACGGGCCAGAGCTGTGCCGTGCCCGGCCAGTCCTGCGGTGCAAACCGCAGCCGCTGCGCTCTGCGATTTCACTCGGGGAAAGCCAGAGTTCCAGGAACAGCAGGCTCTGTTTTGGGAAGGGACAGACCCTCCGCACCCACAGAGCACTGTGGGAATAGCTCTGGCGCTTTTATTCCCACTGAGCAGGCCTGTTCCCCCAAGCAGACCCAAACACTGCCATGAACTCTGTATAAATAAGGTTATAAAGCTACTAATGTTCTTTAACTATGAAGAGATAATACCAACCATGAAACCTGAGCGGCTTTTTCTTGTCTCCTGCACATATGAAAGATGGCATTAAAAGAGATTAGTTTAAACCACTTGCAATTTCCTTTATGCAATAAAAGATTTTCTTTGCTTGGAATTTTCCTATTTATGGCGTGTATTTGGACTCAGTATAGCATAATACTTTCCTCAGTATCCCTGCTTTTAATGATGCTCACAGCATTTGAGCCATTCATCAAATTTGACAACTGAAACAGCTAGGAGTTAATGGGAGCATGAGCAGTTTGACAAACACAGTCTATTTGACAAGGCTGAGGTCAGGACTAAAAGAACTGCTCTTGGTTAAATAAATAGAAAAGCAACAAAGTAAAGCAAAATCTCTGCAGCCATTTATCAACTTTAAAAGCCTTTTGTTATAAGAAACACTAAGTGAAACTGCACACAGAGATGGGAATTAAAAGGGGTTGGAAGAATTCAGCTGGCTTCTTTTTTAGGTGAAATTAAAAAGCTCAGTTAAAACTGAGGGATTATGTCCATAAAACTGACACGCAGCTACATAATACCTAAACCTACACTTTAGAGCTGCCTGCTTCTGAACTGACTCACTATTTTAAAGAATCCAGGTTTTTCCTAGATAACAGATTGATTTGGCACTGAAGGTAGAGCAGTGTCACAAGAGACGACTTTGCTGACATCTGCAGAGCTGGAGAGCTCTGTATAGGCATGCTCAAGGGCACAGCTGAGACTCCATCCATCCATTGCTGCTTCCATAAGGAATTTACCTGTGCAAGGGCCCTTGCAGAGAGCCTG